ACCATATATACTTGTCAAAACATTTATGCCAAAACATTGACCCCTAAAACCTAGGTGGACTTATACTCAATTCCATAATACTGCTCATGGGAAAAAGGTCTTGGTGTTCTTTGGGATTTCTTGGCCATGGTATGAGCAGAGGGGACCCTAAAAGAAGCCTTGACCCTCCTGCCATTTCCCATGCCACAGCAGGGAAATCCCAAAGAGCCATTGCTGTGTCCATTGCTCCCATTGCCTCTTCACGCTCCTTTGAGGGCACTAAAAAGCCATTGATCCTGCTGTGTTCCCTCTGCTCACTCTCTCTTCTCCTTCCCTCTCAGTTGTGCTCTTCAGCTTGAGGAGCAAGTGTTAGGTTTCTGCCACTTTTTTAAAAAGACTAGATAAACTCACCCTTCATCCCCAATCACCTTTCTCTGAGACATCTTCTTGTTCATGCCAGCAGCAGTCACACAGTGTCTGGTGTTGGCTATGGTGTGCCAAGAGGCAAAGGATGCAGCAGGAATGCAATGGTGGCATTGGCACCCTTGAGTTATCCACAGGTCATATCAAAATCTATAATTTTGATCCAAAAATTTGCCCTTGCCATTCATGAGGTCAGCTTATACATGAATATATATACGATAAGCAGCTGATCCAGGAATTGATATATGTGAGATATTGTACTAGTTGGAATAAGAAAATAATAATAATAATAATAATAATAATAATAATAGTAATAATTTTTGTATCCCTCCCTTCTGAGGACAATCGGGGCGGCTAACAGTATAAAATACACAATACAATAATCTCCCCCTCCTTAAAAAAGCATGAAATCCAATAAAGATTAAAACCATACAGATTAAAACTGACCAAATGGCCAACAACATTATACAGTTATACTAATCACATTATGCAGGCAGCATTAATCAATGGTAAACGGCAGTATCTGGTATGTAGCAACTAAAGAGGTTCCTGGAGGATTCTCCTAAAAGGATTTCCGAGGCCTGCTGGAAGAGATCCATCTTGACAGCCTTTTAAAAGCTGTCTAAGGATGTGAGCAGACAGATCTCATCCGGCAGGCCGTTCCATAATCTAGGGGCTACGATGCAAAATGCCCTCTGAGAGGTAGTCGAGAGCCTAGATTTTTGTGGCTGGGGCAAACTCCTCACAGAGGACCGGAGTGCTTGGGGAGGATTATAGGGGAGAAGGCGGTTCCAAAGATAGTTTGGACCCAAGCCATTTAGGGCTTTAAAGGTAATAACCAACATCTTGTACTGGGCTCAGAAACTAATAGGCAGCCAGTGGAGGGACCTTAAAACTGGAGTAATATGGTCCCTCCTAGATGTTCCGGAGACTACTCTGGCTGCCATGTTCTGTACTAATTGCAATTTCCAGACCAAGCACGAGGGTAGCCCCATGTAGAGCACATTACAGAAATCTAGACGGGAGGTTACCAGTGACTGCACAACGGTCTCAAGATCCCTTACTTCCAGAAAAGGGTGCAGCTGTCGTATCAGCCGAAGCTGATAACAGGCGCTCCTGACTGTCGCATTTACCTGATTCGTCATCAGGAGTGACGAGTCAAGTAGCACCTCCAGACTGCGAACACAGTCCTTGACAGAGAGTGTGACCGCATCCAGGACTAGAGCTTGCAACCCAATTCTTGGTTTCGGGGCTGCTACCGTGAGCACCTCTGTTTTGTCTGGATTCAGTCTCAATTTGTTTTTCCTCATCCAGCCCATTACTGCCCGAAAACATTCATTGAGAGAGGAGACACCATCAGAATTCGAGACTGACGATGAGACATGGAGAAATAGATTTGGGTGTCATCAGCGTACTGATAACACCCAGCTCCATAATTCTGAATAATCTCACCCAGCGGCTTCATATAGATGTTAAATAGCATCGGGGACAGAATAGAACCCTTTGGCACACCACAGGTGAGCTCCCTGTTGCTGGAGCAGCTGTCCCCGAGCAGCACCCTCTGGGACAGGGGTAGGCAACCTTTCCCCTTTAAGGGCCAAGGGACTTCAGCTCCCAGAATCCCAGCAGCTATTGGCCAACATGGGACTATTGGCCAACATTTCTGAGGCTTCTGGGAGCTGAAGTCCCTCAGCCCTTAAAGGGGAAAGGTTGCCTACCCCTGGTATAAGACGTTAATTATTTTAATTGTCTCAATGAGCAACATGTAATTTGTGGTGCATGTCTCTGTAACAAAGTAGTTTAATAAATTAATGTAAGAAATACACTATATTAATTTGCATTTGAGATGAGAGGGGGATTTGGTGTTAACTGCCCTCAAGTTGATCTTGACTCATGGCGGCCCTATGGAAGAGACATCTCCAAGACCCTCTGTCCTCCACTGCTCTGCTTAATTCCTGCAACCCCTTAATAAATACCCATGAACTCCTTAGTAGAGTACATCCATCTAGCATGTGGCCTTCCTCTCTTTCTATTTCCTTCCAACTTTCACAGCATTATTTTTTTTCTAAAGAGTCCTCCCTTCTCACGATGTGTCCAAAGTATGACAGTCTCAGTTTGGTCATCTTGGCTTCCAGTTGGCTTGGTCTGCTCTAGGACCCACTTGTTTGTCCTATTTGGCACTCTTCTCCAGCACCACATCTCAAATGCATTGATTTTCTTCCTATCATCTTTCTTCACTGTCTAGGTCTCACATCCATACATGGTAATAAGGAATGCAATGGCTTGTATGATTTCTTTTTCTTTATTGTCTAGGCTGAACATGTGAAGGTCCTCGGTGGCCATTATTTTTGTTTTCTTTATGTTCAACA